ACGCCTGCGCCTCGGCCTCTTCAAGTCACCTTTTTTGGTTGGTGAAGCTGAACATATGTGGTTGTACCCCTTTTGCAAGGACAAATGTATTTTCAGAAAGAAAAACGCCGGTTTTGCAATTCGGGCGCGTTGACACAAAATTCTTGAATTCGTCCCATCATGTCCTATCTGTGGATGATTGGCCTGGAGATGCGACTTTTTTCCTGTGGGCCAACCTTTGAAGATTATCCGCTAGTATTCAGTCAAAAAAAGGTCCAGCCCCTTGGATTTTATTTTTGACACCTGCGCCTCGGCCTCTTCAAGTCACTTTTTTGGTTGGTGAAGCTGAACATGTGTGTCTGTACCCTTTTGCAAGGACAACTGTATTTTCAGCAAAAAAACATGTGTTTTGCAATTTGGGCGCGCGTTGACACAAAATTCTTGAATTCGTCCCATCATGTCCTATCAGTGGATGATTGGCCTGGTGATGCGACTTTTTTCCTGTGGGGCCAACCTTTGAAGATCATCCGCAAGTATTCAATCAAAAAAAGGTCCAGCCCCTTGGATTTTATTTTTGACACCTGCGCCTCGGCCTCTTCAAGTCACTTTTTTGGTTGGTGAAGCTGAACAATGTGTGTCTGTACCCTTTTGCAAGGACAACTGTATTTTCAGCAAAAAAACATGTGTTTTGCAATTTGGGCGCGCGTTGACACAAAATTCTTGAATTCGTCCCATCATGTCCTATCAGTGGATGATTGGCCTGGTGATGCGACTTTTTTCCTGTGGGGCCAACCTTTGAAGATCATCCGCAAGTATTCAGTCAAAAAAGGTCCAGCCCCTTGGATTTTATTTTTGACCCCTGCGCCTTGGCCTCTTGAAGTCACTTTTTTGGTTGGTGAAGGTGAACATATGTGTTTGTACCCTTTTGCAAAGTCATGTAAAGAATCATACCCCCTCAAGTAATCATGGTACATTTTTTCCTGGGGTTTGACATTTAGATATGTTCTAGTAAACTCCCATTTGATCCATCCACCTTCAAATTCCTGGCTACTAACCTTGGGAATTCTACAAACTTACCCATTACCAGAGTCATTCATGATTGATTTCCTGATGCCTTACATACACAGACTGATAGATCAACCCCCTCAATCACAACAGACAGAAATTGATTTCCTGCCACTGTACGTCAGGAAGCTTTCAGGAAAAAAAAACTGGGCCTTTTTTGGTATGATATTTGATTCCTGGCCCGGTATCATGCCTCTGGACCCTCACCCACTGTCTGCTAGATTTTTGGAAAATAGTGTTTTTTAAAAAGCGTACTGAACCCCCAGGAAAAAAAAAACTGGTAGTACAGAGGAGGATATTGTTGAAGAAAACCATACGGAGTTCATAACTGTTCAAAATTAAAATCCAGTGAAGCTATCGGATTCAACATTTTTACAAACCACTGAAATGCATTAAAAAGTATGATCACAACCTTTATGTAGATCCTACCCTCTCCTGTTCGACAGATTGGCCCAGAGATTTTTTTCCTGTACCCCAACCTTGTTTGGAAAACCATGCAATCCTGGCAAGCAAATCTTCGAAACATATAAAATCCTGTGGTACAACCTTATGTTACTAATCCTGCTTTCCTGGCTCCAACATTTGTTTTCCTGAACCCCAACCTTGCGACATCCATTTTTTGATGATTTTTACCTGACTTGGCATTTTTATTCGCCGAAGTGGAGTCACAGGAAAAAAAATTACCGGTACAACGGGGGGTTCAGAAAGTAACGTTTGGCAGTCTGGGCTACGGGCCTCGGGCCCAATCCGTCCTTCAGTGCCATGGTGTTGTAGCCCTGCGACAGGGTCCTTGGACTCCAGCTTGGACCGGAGCTGGGCAGAACGAAAGCCAGCTCCAGGAGGACACGAGCAGGGTGGCAGTTGGCAGTGCAGAAACGCAGGTAAAGTCAAGGTTTGTAGCTAGTTTCTAGTCGGTTCAGAAAGTAACGTTTGGCAGTCTGGGCTACGGGCCGCGGGGCCCAATCCGTCCTTCAGTGCCATGGTGTTTTAGCCCTGCGACAGGGTCCTTGGACCCCGGGCCTGGACCGGAGCTGGGCAGAACGAAAGCCAGCTCCAGGAGGACACGAGCAGGGTGGCAGTTGGCAGTGCAGAAAACGCAGGTAAAGACAAGGTTTGGAGCTAGCTTCTAGTCGGTTCAGAAAGTAACGTTTGGCAGTCTGGGCTACGGGCCGCGGGCCCAATCCGTCCTTCAGTGCCATGGTGTTTTAGCCCTGCGACAGGGTCCTTGGACTCCAGCTTGGACCGGAGCTGGGCAGAACGAAAGCCAGCTCCAGGAGGACACGAGCAGGGTGGCAGTTGGCAGTGCAGAAATGCAGGTAAAGTCAAGGTTTGGAGCTAGTTTCTAGTCGGTTCAGAAAGTAACGTTTGGCAGTCTGGGCTACGGGCTGCGGGCCCAATCCGTCCTTCAGTGCCATGGTGTTTTAGCCCTGCGACAGGGTCCTTGGACCCCGGGCCTGGACCGGAGCTGGGCAAAACGAAAGCCAGCTCCAGGAGGACACGAGCAGGGTGGCAGTTGGCAGTGCAGAAAACGCAGGTAAAGACAAGGTTTGGAGCTAGTTTCTAGTCGGTTCAGAAAGTAACGTTTGGCAGTCTGGGCTACGGGCCGCGGGCCCAATCCGTCCTTCAGTGCCATGGTGTTTTAGCCCTGCGACAGGGTCCTTGGACCCGGGCTTGGACCGGAGCTGGGCAGAACGAAAGCCAGCTCCAGGAGGACACGAGCAGGGTGGCAGTTGAGCTTGGACCGGAGCTGGCCAGAACGAAAGCCAGCTCCAGGAGGACACGAGCAGGGTGGCAGTTGGCAGAAGCCAGCTCCAGGAGGACACGAGCAGGGTGGCAGTTGGCAGTGCAGAAACGTAGGTAAAGTCAAGGTTTGGAGCTAGTTTCTAGTCGGTTCAGAAAGTAACGTTTGGCAGTCTGGGGGCCCAATCCGTCCTTCAGTGCCATGGTGTTTTAGCCCTGCGACAGGGTCCTTGGACTCCAGCTTGGACCGGAGCTGGGCAGAACGAAAGCCACCTCCAGGAGGACACGAGTAGGGTGGCAGTTGAGCTTGGACCGGAGCTGGGCAGAACGAAAGCCAGCTCCAGGAGGACACGAGCAGGGTGGCAGTTGGCAGTGCAGAAACGCAGGTAAAGTCAAGGTTTGGAGCTAGTTTCTAGTCGGTTCAGAAAGTAACGTTTGGCAGTCTGGGCTACGGGCCGCGGGCCCAATCCGTCCTTCAGTGCCATGGTGTTTTAACCCTGCGACAGAAGCTGTGCAGAACGAAAGCCAGCTCCAGGAGGACACGAGCAGGGTGGCAGTTGGCAGTGCAGAAACGCAGGTAAAGACAAGGTTTGGAGCTAGTTTCTAGTCGGTTCAGAAAGTAACGTTTGGCAGTCTGGGCTACGGGCCGCGGGCCCAATCCGTCCTTCAGTGCCATGGTGTTTTAGCCCTGCGACAGGGTCCTTGGACCCGGGCCTGGACCGGAGCTGGGCAGAACGAAAGCCAGCTCCAGGAGGACACGAGCAGGGTGGCAGTTGGCAGTGCAGAAAACGCAGGTAAAGACAAGGTTTGGAGCTAGCTAGTTTCTAGTCGGTTCAGAAAGTAACGTTTGGCAGTCTGGGCTACGGGCCGCGGGCCCAATCCGTCCTTCAGTGCCATGGTGTTGTAGCCCTGCGACAGGGTCCTTGGACTCCAGCTTGGACCGGAGCTGGGCAGAACGAAAGCCAGCTCCAGGAGGACACGAGCAGGGTGGCAGTTGGCAGTGCAGAAACGCAGGTAAAGTCAAGGTTTGTAGCTAGTTTCTAGTCGGTTCAGAAAGTAACGTTTGGCAGTCTGGGCTACGGGCCGCGGGGCCCAATCCGTCCTTCACTGCCATGGTGTTTTAGCCCTGCGACAGGGTCCTTGGACCCCGGGCCTGGACCGGAGCTGGGCAGAACGAAAGCCAGCTCCAGGAGGACACGAGCAGGGCAGTGCAGAAAACGCAGGTAAAGACAAGGTTTGGAGCTAGTTTCTTCTTCTTCTTCTTCTTCTTCTTTCTTCTTCTTTCTTCTTTCTTCTTCTCTTCTTCTCTTCTTCTCTTCTTCTCTTCTTCTCTTCTTCTCTTCTTCTCTTCTTCTCTTCTTCTCTTCTTCTCTCCTTCTCTCCTTCTCTTCTTCTCTTCTTCTCTTCTTCTCTTCTTCTCTTCTTCTCTTCTTCTCTTCTTATCTTCTTCTCTTCTTCTCTTCTTCTTCTCTTCTTTTCTTCTTCTCTTCTTATCTTCTTCTCTTCTTCTCTTCTTCTTCTCTTCTTATCTTCTTCTTCTCCTCTTCTCCTCTTCTTCTCTTCTTCTTCTCTTCTTCTTTTCTTCTTCTTCTCTTCTTCTTCTTCTCTTCTTCTCTTCTTCTCTTCTTCTTTTCTTCTCTTCTTCTTCTCTTCTTCTCTTCTTCT